TTTTAGTTTCGATAAGCTAGAAAAGAATATGGTTGACGGGAAAACAACCATCAATGCTGCCAAATTTTTCGACATCCTCGTTGGAAGCGTAATCAACCGCATGATTTTTTCGGAACGTTTCACAGAGGTGAGCTAAAGTAATATGCTTTCATCAATTTAATGAGAACATAAATTTTTGTTGCACAAACTCCTATGTGCGATAATTTTCCAATTTTGTGGTCATCTGTTAACTCTTGGTATTCATTGCTCTACTATTGATCTTATAAATATTATCAAACTCAGTCCAGTGGACACGAAATAAGTTTTCATTGAAAAAATTGTGTTGGGTTTAACTCTATTGTATCACTTCCCGCTTATTGCCGTCACAGTTTTGCATAAAATTCAAAGCGTATTTCAGAAAAATGCTGAAGAGTTCTTCCGGCTTAAACATGAGCTCGATGATACCCTTATGAATATAACAGCATTTGACACAGCCTTGGCAAAATGGACGCGCAATGTGCCATTTCTAGCGAAACGTTGGGAAAGGATGATATCTCCTCAGGAGAAACTTGTTGAATTCATTAGTAAACGAGTAAAACAAAGGTAAATGCTCAAGATTGTTGGCACACTTTACATTGAGCCTTCTTTTAGAAAAGAAGATATAAATTCTGGAAAACACATTCTTGATGCTGGTCATGATTTTGTTGACGCGTACCTTATAAAAATGGAAGCTGATCGTAGGGAAGGGGTGGACCCAACTCGGATGTACAAGTGGGTTTAAAAGATATACTGTACTGTAAATTATAGTCTTTATCTCTGGTTCAATCCCATGGTGCTGTATTTTTTCAGCAGCGCGGCCAATTGACGCGCATTGTTTCTGCCTACAACGCGCAACGAAAAGACGTTAATGACATAGTCTGTTACGTAATCCATGCCATATATCTTGCGATTGCATTGCGGTTTTAACTTCGGGGTGCGCATATAGCGCTACTTTCGCTTTCGTTGTCGTGGTCGCTACGAGGGCTTTTTTTATAGGTTTGACATCTGCCTAACCTTCTTTTTCTGAATTCACGTCATCTTGTCAGATCAAAATACGCAGCAAAGCCCATTAATTTAGTATATGTGAGTGAATATCATGGAGGTTAGTAGGTGATTTCGATGGGTAGTGAAACTGTTGAGAGAAGCACAATAAAATTGTAGGATTTTTCCAAACGAAAAAAGCAAAAAATGACGCTAGCGAGATGTATTATCTGCATATGTTATTCTTGAATTTTTTCTAAAATTTTTTAAAGTATGGGGATCATTAAACCTATATAGAGCCCCTTAGCGTCTACAACAGTGAAGAACGAAGAGGCAGCTGTTTGCGCATCCCAAAGTAAAACAGCAACGCAGTTACAAAAAAGGCGGTACGGACTTTTGTAATAGAAAAACATGTCCCTTAGTCTTATTTCCTTTCCTGTCAGGCGATCATCATACAGAGATGCTACACTAACAGCACCTTGAGTGAGCTCCAGAGGAACGAACTACATTGTGTAAAACACTTTTAGGGAAGAAGACCTTTTGTACGACATTTTCGATTTATGGATAGCTGGACATGAAACTACCAGTATCACAATGATATGGGGATTTATGCATCTAATCAAGAATCCTGATGTGTGTA